CCCGGGGGTGGCGGCAGCCCCGAGAGCAGGATGCGGGTCCGGGTCGGGCTGACGCTGCTGCTCTGTGCGGTGCTGCTGGGCACGGCCTCGGCGTCGTCGGGTCAGTATCTGCCCCCTGGGTCGGAGGCCAGGAGCCACCGCCCCCCCGGCCTCCATCCCGGGCAGGGCCTTGGGGGCTGGAGCTGGAGACTCCACTGTCTCTGGTCTCACCTCGCAGCCACCTGTCAGCCGCTGTCGTTCCGTGGGCTTCAGGGGGCCTGAGCGAGAGAGGGTGGTTAGGGGACTAGAGAATGGGGGGTAAAAAGGGGCGGTCCCCGTGCCCACACCTCTTCTCTCTTAGCAAACTTTGCAGGACTCCTCACGAATGAGGAATTGACTCCCTGGGAGTGAGTGCCGCAGCCGGTTAGACCCACAGTGACGCGGGAACCCCCGTGGAGCTTGCTCGGCGCTCGTGTGGACTGTGTGCCGCACCGGGTCTGACACTGGCTTGGGGATCTGTCTGCATATTAGGTGTTTGACACCCTAGGCCAGCGGTTCTCAACCTGTGGGTCGCGACCCTTTCACAGGGGTCGCCTAAGACCATCCTGCCTATCAGATATTTACATGACGAATCATAACAGTAGCAACATTACAGTTACGAAGTAGCAACGAAAATAATTTTATGGTTGGGTCACAACATGAGGAACTGTATTTAAAGGGCCAGAAGGTTGAGAACCACTGCCCTAGGCACAGCCAGGTTCCCCCAGACCAGGATGTTGGCAGTGGTGTACGTAGCCCCTGAGGTGGTCCTCAGTCTCTTTGATTCATCACGAAAACCTTTGATATAATTGTGTTCATTCCCGCCCGCTTTTAAAGAAGTATTCCTAAGAAAGCGGTTTGGTTTTTTTACCTCAGTGTCACAGTATTTGAGTTGTCCCATGTTTGTTGATAGTAGTTTTGTGATTTGTAAAAATAACAACAACAATAATAATAACGGTCCCTATACATTTATAAAGCATAGCAACTAGTTTTAACTTTTTTAAAAAATCCTCACCCGAGGATATGTTTTGATTGATCTTACAGAGGAGAAGGGAGAGAGAAAGAAACATGGATTGGTTGCCCCTCTTATACACCCTGGGAATAGAACCCGCAACCAACTGAGCCATCCAGCCAGGACCTAGTTTTAACTAGTATGTAGATACAGAAATTCCTGTGAGTTTACAAATTAGCTGATTTCTACTCTGCTTCTAAAAATAATTATTTTTTTTCTTTTAGTACTTTAGTCTCTCTACATCTGGAAACTTCTGTTTTGAAAGTGTGTTTGGTAAAGAAACACTGAGTGTTTCTAAGTGTTGGGAAATAAATAATTAGTACAGTAAAGCTTGTGAATTTTAATCAGTTTTCGTTAACAAGACAGCTGTTCTGTGGCTTTAACATTTTTTTAGAACAAGGCAGGGTATAAATGTCAACTTTTTTTTTTTTTCAACAGAAAATTTCCCAGATGGTTATTTGAATCCCCAAATTGTCTGCCCTAGTTGTAAGTCAATGCCATAACGTCATTCTGCTTCTAAAATAGGAGGTCTAAACCTGAAGTTCTATCCATAATGTGGTTTGAGCTACCATTTCAAGAGCAACAAGCGTATGCTAGTTACTCTACTGCCAACATCATGCTTTGAGGTCTGACTCCCCTACCTCCCCTTTCATCAATAGTTTAATGACCAAATCTCTAAAACTTGACATAATTCTTGAAGCACTGCTAGCAGTTATTTGATTGAAGGAAGTATGAAAAGAAACGACTGGTGTAGATGATAGAGTACTTGATGGACCGTGGACCGCCTGTATCAGAATTGCTCTTAGAGGTTTGTTAAAAATGCAGTTTTATGTCTGGAACAGGTCAGGGTATCTGTAGTTTAACAAGCTTCCCAAGTGATTCTTTACACTAAACTGTGAGAACTATTTAAAGAACATGGTATATATCCCTGTGAACTCAATTTGCAGAATTGGAAGAAAATTAAAGCATACAAACACTTTCCTGCATCTTCTTTTGACTAGATTTTATGTACTTAAAGCTTCATGTCCGTGGAGATGATTCTTGAAGTCAGTTAACCAACATTTGGGACTCTCAGTATGTTATAATAGAAAACTGTTAATACTGAAGTGCTAAATCTTTGGGTTGTGTTGATGTAAGTTCAAGAAATGTCTGCTGTGATTTCAGTCGTAGTTAAATTGTGCCAAAACATTTCTCTGGTAGAGGCAGTGAACTAAATAATATAGATGTGCATACTGACAGATAATAAAGGCAATGCTGGGCTGATAGGAAGTGCAAATATCATAAAATACTTATGTGAGATAGAGCTTTATAAATTGAGTACGTGGATTTTCAGTTGACTTTTTTATTCATTAAATTGCTTATTTATATGGGATGTCAGCCTCAATTTTAGTTTAGATTTAAAGAGTTGTTTCTATTTAAAAATCTGGGTTTGGGTTATAATTTTGTGTTGATTTAAAAAGTGAGAATGTTGCCGAGGCCGGTTTGGCTCAGTGGATGGAGCATCGGCCTGCGGACTGAGGGGTCCCGGGTTCGATTCCGGTCAAGGGCATGTGCCTGGGTTGCGGGCACATCCCCAGTAGGGAGTGTGCGGGAGGCAGCTGATCGGTGTTTCTCTCTCGTCGATGTTTCTAGCTCTCTGTCTTTCTCCCTTCCTCTCTGTAGAAAATCAATAGAGTATATTTTTTAAAATAAATAAATAAATAAAAAATAAAGAGTGAGAATGTTAATAGTTACCCAGAAGAAGTTGCATTTATTAGCAGGTAGAATATGATGATCTGCCAGCAAAAAGAATTTTGATCCTATCACTGTCAGTAGCTATTATCTAATATCTTGTTTTAGAGGCATGTATAAAAATGATACTTTTATGGGAAATGTTTTATTTTTCTCTGTGAATAAATAAATTTAAAGGAGGATATTGAAAAGCTATTTCTCCTTTATTTTCTCAAGATAATAGTGAAAAGTACTGTAACTTTTCTCACTTAGAAATACATGTTTTCTTATTTTTGGCAGGAAGAGGCAAATGGTTTACTTTTCTCTCTTTGGGCCAAACACCGTTACAGCGTCTTTTACATTAGGTCCATTGCTAAGTATTTCAAGTAATAGTTGTATTAATATCATATATTCAAAGAATAGAGTAGAGATTGCAGGGATGTTTCATTGTGCTTTTGTTCCTCAAAAAGTCAACAGGGCAGATGTTATTATTTTCTTTGGTACATTGAGGAAAAGGAGTCTGAGCAAGTTTGCCATATTGAACTACATGGATAAAATCAATATATAATGAAGCCAGGATTTGAACCCAGGTCTCCAGGCTTCAGAATAGGAGTAATTAAGAATCAGGAGTATCCTAGAACCTGCACAGATTCTGTGGCAAAGCGGAAAACAGGATGTCTCTTTGCACCAAACTCTGAAGATTTTCTGTTTGAAGGTGTATCAGTGTAATTTACATGATGGATTAGAAAATGAATTTGTAATCATTACTTTTCCTGAAAGAATATCCATGGTACTTTGCAGTTTTGTTACTAATAAAATAAAAATGAAAATTGATCTTTTTCAAAGGAAGGTGTGCAATTACTAAAGTAATGCAAGCCATTATATTTTGGATGTGATACTGTTGAGTGAGAAATCCGTAACTCCTCGTTGAATCCTTCTGCATTTTTCCTGTTGCTTGATGTCTGTGTTCTGATAAAAGCATTACTGTTTTTGTTTTATTGATGCGTAATTTCAATGTCTTTAATTCTTACCTGATTTCTACACATCAGAAGTTTCAGGTTATAAGCAACTTCTTTAAATGTGTTATGTGAGTAGCTATATCAGTTTGAAAGAGAAAATAGCTTATGCTTTATAACTACCATCTGGGGTAGCTTCTCCCACTTTAGTAAAGGAGACAGAATTCTCTCATTTGCCAGTAACCTTAGTATCTATTCCTGTTTGTGAAGAGAAAAGAGAAAGAGAGAAGCATGATGCAATTCACATGAAATAACCCTGATGTCACAAGTTTCCACGTCTCTTGGAGTTCAGAAACACATGAATGCCTAACAGCTTGTAGTATCTCAAATGTATATGTCTTAAAATTTACTTATAGGCATCTGTATTATTTAGTGATTATGTGCATATGTGCCCTGTTGTGATAAGATACTAAATTTAGTGATTTAAGAATTCCAGATAATCTAAAGCAGGGGTTCTCAACCTGTGGGTCGAGACCATCGGAAAACACATATAGCATATCAGATATTTACATTACGATTCTTAACAGTAGCAAAATTACAGTTATGAAGTAGCAACGAAAATAATTTTATAGTTGGGGGTCACCACAACATGAGGAACTGTATTAAAGGGTTGCGGCATTAGGAAGGTTAGGAACCACTGATTCGGTATTTAGGGATATACCATTTCTGCTCTTGATTTATTAACTAGTTAATGTTTGTAATTAATTAAATACATTCACACATACAACTTCGATATATAATAGAGATGAATTTTTTTCCCTTTTAGCCAAAGATTTATTGAGAATGGAAATTGAACCATATGTTAGAACTTGGGCTTTGGGTGATAATTGTAAAGAAGTTAGCATGCTGGATGATTATTAATTAACTAGAGGTTCAGTGCATTGGCCTGGCCTGTGGGGATCGGGCCAAAACCAACTCCCCTACATCCCCTGAGGGATCCCAGATTGCGAGAGGGCTCAGGACAGGTCGAGGGACCCCATTGGTTTGGTGCATGATAAGGTGGCAGGGGGGGGACCAAGGGAGGGCTCAGGGCATATCCGGCCTATCTCGCCCTGTCCCTATTGGCTGGACCCTAGCAGCAAGCTAATCTACCAGTTGGAGCATCTTCCCCCTGGTGGTCAGTGCACATCATAGCGACTGGTTGGATGGTCAGACACTTAGCATATTAGGCTTTTATTACATAGGATTGACATCACTACCTAAATGTATAGGCACTGTGGATTAAGACATGCTATACTCTCCCCCCACTCACCTGAACAAAAACATGTGAAAGGTAATCTAAAAGCATTGATATGAAAGAAGCTGTAACTTAAGCTTCTTTGAATTGACAGCACTTTTGTATATAAGAAACTGGCAAAACTGACACTCATTCCTAGCTAAAATTACATAATTTTAAGAGTAAAAAGGAATCTTTGAGATCCTCTATTTGTTAACTGGCCACACACATAAAGACCAAACATTTGCATATGGACATGGAGTTGTCAAATGTATTTGTATAAGAACAGGCCCTAGCCAGTTTTCTACAGTGGTTAGACTGTTGACCCTTGGACTGAAGGGTTGAGGGTTCAATTCTAGTCAAGGGCACAGCATTTTGGATGCAGGTTCGATCCCCAGACCCCATATCTCTCTGTCTCTCCCCCTCCCTTCCACTCTCTCTAAAAATAAAAATCAATGGGAGAAAAAATTATCCGGTGAGGATTAACAAAAAATAAATAAGAACAGGAAAAAGAATAAGTGGTCAGAATAGAAGTAGTACCAGCAAAATACAGAATAATAGAAGGATAATTAATGTAATTGGGCAAAGCCAAAGCAGCAGACGTGAATTTGGAAAAAGGTGTAATTAGTGGTTGGATTCATTGTCTATTTAATATAAGCTATTGATTTCTTAATAAATATATCTTTTGTGAATGAATGCATGATAGTATGATGCTACTTTTTACCTGTACCTGGTTATCTCTTCAGTAAAATAGAACACAACTATCTCAGTATAGCAACTCTGCTGTCAAATAATAATAATAGTTCTTAGGGTGCATCTTTAGTAGTCTTAGTGAACGATAAAGTGCTAATCAGCACTAACATAAGCTGGTGTAACTCCAGCTTCTGAGCAGAGGAAAAGGACAAAATCCTGAACCACAAAGTCAGAGACTAATTTTTATAAATTTAGTAACTCACTCTCGGTAGTAGTCTGAATATATATACAGAAGAATTGAGTGGTATCTGAAGTATCTGGTTTTGGTGTGGTAGTTGTTGGTCTTCCTACCTGTATAACAGATCAAACAAATGTCTTTCCTGGAAAAACTACCACCTCACCCCCTTTTTCTCCTTTCAGGTAATCTTTTCTGAACTGTTGTTGAATACAACCAGCTTTAGAGAATTCTAATTTTATTTATCCAGTGTCTGATTATTATTTGTTGTACGTATCAAATGCTTTCTTTTAATAATACCTGTGACTTCCCAACAAGAAAGATGACTAAGTTGTCTTAAAATTTCTTTACAGATGATGAAAGCGGCCAGGATGAATCCTTAGATTCCAAGGTATGTACTAACATTTGCATTGACTCATATTTGATGCCTGATTTAAAACAAAGGATATGAAATCGACATGTTTTGAGCAACAGAATTGGATTTTAAAAAAGAAAAATAAAAGATAGCAGGTATCAATATAGTTCTAGTTCTTTGGTAAGAAAAAAACCACTGACCTATGGGAGAGAAAATAATAAATATTTCCATTAAGAGTGTTGGTTATTAGGTTTAATTTCAACTTGAATGTTCCCATGTGTGTTTGCTTGTGTCTGTGTATGAGCCTTCAGGCTCTTATTGCTTAACTGGTAGCCCTGTGCACAAATCCATGCGCCAGTAATTCGCTGCTGCCCTCCAACCAGTAGCTCTCCATCCTCCCCACCCCCACCCCCT